ATACGATTTTAGCTTATAAGCCAAATCAGTTTGCTGTGACCTTAGCCCAATCAGCCATTTCAGTCACTCTCCATCAGCTGATAGGTAATTGGATAGCAATTCGTGCAATAAGAATAAGTCTTGCTACAAGCCATAGCGTCTTTTAGATAGAAGGATAAAGCGTCAAACAATCGCTCACGTGTGGGGGGGGGGGGGGGGACGGGGGTAGGGATTTGGGTGAAAAGCGGGTTCAACTCCATTCTGGGGTCGTATGTTTTCCACGCCACTCATTTTTTTCCACATATATACTCATACTCATAACAATCACTTATAGATGCGTCATCCATTCGACATCACTCGTAGCACGGCATGAGCGATTAGATGCATGTTTGGCCAAGATACTGACTTGCGATGGCTGACCAATGCTTCACATCAGTGTTTTTGTCCTCATAGGCAGCTAGTACAAATTGACAAACTCTGGCGAGAAGGGAGGGTCGCTTTACACAAGGTGGGAGATGAAATCAGCGACTCATTATGTATCTAAAAGTAATCTTAGCCAATGTGCTATGGGGGCTCAATTGTAACAAGAGCCCGTAGATAGATTAACAAGTAGAACATTTTCGACGTTCGACGAGTAAATCGCATCAGATAGATGCATCAGGAATTTACAAAAACTATCTTGTAATGATTTATGTAATGATATGTATAACTTTTCTCCTCCGCCATCTGTAACAAAAAAGACACCTTTTTCGCGAGAAGCAGTTCACTTTCGTTTTTTGGCGCGAATCTCTAGATAGACAGTTTTAGACTTTCGCTCGAAAAAAGTTACATGTAATTACTTAGGGATGAATTTTTGCGCCATCTGAAAAATAGTAGTTGTTAGTTTTGAAGGTACAGCAGGTGCCGCCGTATGGTTCTAGTAGGTAGAGCGTATAAGGAGTCAGTACGAGGTTCTAATAATGACTGCAAAGAAAGGAGTTCACGTAATAAATAGTAGTACGAAAAGAAGAATATCGAGGGAAGGGGTTCACCTTGATAGTCCGAGAATCAATGAGATGTAATGGAGCAGCGTTAAGGAGCCACACGACAGTTAAGTCATGAACGATTATCCTTTTCTTTCTACTTCTGTGCAATACAATCTGACTCTCACATTAAAATCACCTTCAAAATGTGGAACGTCTCGAAATACTACAAGCAAAAAAGCTAGGCCAACAATAACAAGTTTAAATAAAGTAGTTTATGTGTAAGAGGTTGAAATAAGGCGGTATCAATGAATTGGAAAAGAAACCTTAGCTGGATGAAGCTTAATGCCGTAGAAGTCGCATCGTCGAGCAACTTCAAGCATCGCAAAATCGCTTTCACCAGGGCTCATACCACTGAAAATTTAGGCTATCAAGGCGATTTTTGCTTTCTGACTCACAAAATCCGAGAAAACAAAAGCAGAATGAGTGATCAGCAAAACTTTTTTCTGTTTTTAATTCCCGTAAACGTCTGGAATTGAATAAAATGTTGCAAAATGCATGCAATAAAATGGATTTTACATGTGGAAGTTCTTGTATAAAGTAAAAAAAGCGTCTTGAAATAGGCGGTCTATTAGGGGTTTTCTACGAAATACCCAAATAATCTGTGGTTTTCTAATATCTGGGACGTATGATAAAAATCTAGTCCTCTTTTAGGTGACAAATATGCTAAAATATCCATTAATTCGAAACCTGCTTTATTATAGCGGTAATATACGATGGAGACGACTGATCGCTTTTCCAGCAAGTCTTGACGGAAAGTAGAGTCCAAATGATGTGAACTCTTAAAACTGAATGCACAGAGTTACGAGTTCCTATCATAGTAACGAATTTTGAACTTATTCATTGCGATATAAGCATCTTTTGCTGAGAATCAATCATCCAAAACAAGAAGAAGAATTATTAGGAAGATGGCTCTGCGTGTGAGTGTACACTTGAATAGTGTGATATACGTGGATGCCTTCTTACTTAAACCATTATTTTTCAAAAAGGTTCATGCATCTTCCCGCACAGCTTCTTAAGTCCTTCGGTATTTTGCAGGTTGAAAAGAATTCTTTCTAAGCAGTTCACAGAAAACCCTGCTGAAATTCTACAAGTAAATGCCGTGGCTTGTAGGTCAGAAGGAAAATATTATGGCTTTCATTCTAGAAGGCGCCATTTACTGACAGGTTTACCCATGGATAGTTTCCAGGACGAGAAATTTCGGAAATCTTTTGAAGTGGGTCATCAGACCAATTGTGCGCCCCTATTTTGTTTTGTTACTCGAATATCCGAGAATTCTTGGCACCATGATGACGTGGTGGATAAAGCGTTGAGCTAATTTATGTGAGAATGCTATGGAGGCGAATTGAGAAACTGAATAATCACTATCACAGGCTAAACTTACTGGATGGCCGATAACTGGTTGAAGCATACTCTATTGCATCTTAATTATATTCCATAATAGCTTAGCTGAGATTTCAAAGGAGAAACTTCTGATGTTTTAGGATTTCAAAAGGCTTTCATGGAAAAGTGCTGATTTTTTTACATGACTTCATTTTCATGGTGAACTCTATGCGTGACCGTTGTCGTTACAAATGTCAGTTGTATCACTGGCATTGCCGTCTTATCAGACTATCAAACTTCAAGAGCGTAAAGTGCTCTGGTCAAAATCTCTCTTTCACGAACAACTGCTGCGAAAATGGCCGAACGGTTGCCGACATCTCAAACTGCGCTCGTGGAATATCCAAAATGTCGTTCGTAATGTGAATGATTCACAATACGAAATTTCTTCAGAGGGGAAGGCATTTTTCATTCAAAGTCTTTCAAACTGGGACATTCCCATCAAAGAAGACAGAAGACATTTCCAATGGAGTTCGCTCAGGATAGTTCACTATTTAAGAGCATTTTCGTAGACCTTCGCTATTCGCAAACATTTCAACATTATAGGAATATGACGGGACAAGTAAAATATGGCGGAATCAGTCAAATCGCGGCAGATCATAAAGAAATACCAATTGGAATAAGTATTTAGAGAAAGTGTAAAGCCGAATATGCCGAGCGAATTACGAGGCCCTTCGATAATGGCACATTGTTCCTCTAAAGAGTTGTTTGAACACTTCAAGTTTGGTCAGACACAGCAAACTTTTTAGCTGATTGGAAAACAAATCAGCAGGTGAACACATTGATAAGAAGAAATTCAGAAATAAACTAACACTAAATTTTTGTGATTTTCCATAACTTTCTGTTGAAATTCGATAGTTTGATGTGGTATAAAGCGTGAATGCGAGAGATAAGTGGCGTCAGGATAGTCTTCAGCCGAGAAGTCACCGCATTCAGACTGTAATTTCTAACGGATATCGTCACAGAAGCCGTTCTAAAAGCCAGTAGTTTACTCACCTGCACGAGATATGCAGCTAGAAGTGCAGCTGTCGTCTCGGCACAGTGCAATTCACCTACCGATAAGTCGCGACGAATTTGAAGACTTAGTAGGTATCTGAGGGATAAGCAGTACGACTGAGAAAACAGAGACGTCCATTTTCATAGTAAACTGCATGATAAACGCAGTGCTCTTAGTGCTACAATTTCGGTTACAGAGAAAACTTATCAATAATCATCAGTTTGATCAAACAGAATTCATTTTATTTGACTTCCTACTGCAATGGTAGGATGCTACAATACCCGAGAATGTAGAGTGGTGTCCAAAAACATTTGCGTCAGTTGGAATTCGAACCCACATTTCACCCTATTCGGGGGCTCGTGCTGAACCGTTGCACTACTACACTTCAGCACGGGTCCCCGGATAAGGTGAAATGGGGTTCGAATCCCAGCTGACGCAGATGTTTTTGCACACCACTCTGCATCATTGGGTAAATCATTAGTATGTAAAGAGAAAAGGCAAAAATAAACTTTAAGCCAAAGACCGATTTATTATTAAGCATATGAAATCCGCTAGTTTACATGCACCCAAAAATTCTGCGACTATTTTTTAGCAAGAAATGATTTCGTATCAAAAGGCAAACTAGAAGCACCATCCGTCTCGTCAGTAAACAAAAGCAAAAATTGAAAGTGATAGTAAACACTTTAAAGCACGCTTCAGATAATAATATCTGCGTTATAAGAAAGAACCAACCGAGTGTATTCTTCCTCCAAATCAATTGGGTTAGGAGTATAAAACTTGACAATGAAGTAAAACCGTGCGTCGTTGCAATGTGAACTAATCTGGCGTAGTATTGGTTTGTCAGCATCGAGCCAGCACTATAAAATAGGAACTATTTTCAAGACTTAACAGTTTTCTATGAATTTTAGCTGCAAAAATTCGCGAGAATTCCACTAGAATGTCGTCCTAGTCATATATTCTCTTCCAATGATAACATTCGAAAATGAATACCCTGTTATTTCTAGAAAAAATGCAAAAAAGGACGATGTGAAAATTCCAGACTAGAAGGCCTTCAGCTGATTTATTGGTTGTTTCAAACTGGCTCTTACACTGGTTTTTTGCAACAATAATCGATTCAAGAACAAAGGCATCCAATCTGTTTCACGTTATTCGTATATTGAAAATAGTGGATAGGATTATTTCGCAAGCCTACTGCAGAAGCAGTTGCTTTGGAATTGCGATTTTCAGGTCTCAACAAGAACAAGACAGAAATTTATTGAACAAGCTAGCGACTACTCGATCCAGACATATGTCAATAGTTTCATTGATTTCAAGAGCATAAAACTTCAAATGTGGAAACCGCGGATCATTGTGATGATTTGTTGCCTGCTGAAAATTTTTATAGCCCTTTCAACGCATTCAATGGATTTTGTGACACTAATTTCCTGCTAGTGTTGTTTCGTCAAGATTGAAGGCCTTGAAGTATTCAACTCCTTTTGTCAAAAACAATAAAATTATCTTACTATCGCCTGAAATTTGGAGAAAAGTAAAAGTAACAATCCAAACTTCTATGTTTTCACTGCCTTTTCCGCAGTGTTATGATGTTTCACATGCTCCTAAGAGAATTGAGTGGTGAGCAATAATATGAACTCAAGCGGGAGTCGAACCCGCGCTTTATCCATACCGGGGATGTGTGCTACCACTACCCCACTGAGGTACATTCGCGCCACTACTCATTCTTCAACATCTCTTTGATAGGTGTCAGCCACCAACCTTTAGCAGGTTTGGTCGGGTATGCGATTTCGCTTTATAAACCCAGTTGAGCTGACAGCCATTGCGATAAGTAATAATCCAAATTTCTATTATAAAAGAATTGAATGGTGAGCAAAAAACGCCTCTAGACGGTATGGATAAAGCGCGGGTTCAACTCCCATCTGAGGCCGTATTTTTGCTCACCACTCAATTCTCTTAGAAAAGTAAAAGCTCAAACCCAATTCAGTCACTAAAATGAAAGATGCCGTTGGCCATTTGAGCTCAGAGTTTTTCTCAAATGACAATATGACTGAGAAATGGCCGTTTTTGTTGGGTAAAAGAAGCGCCAAAAAATTTAACTACGGCCGTATCGTTGCTGCATGTTCAACTTTTGTGGGATCTAATCATGAGGCTTTTCACCTCCTTTATATCTTCCGAATTATGTACAGTTGTTAAGTCATATATGTTCGCTTCTTTTACAACTATAAAAGCTTAGTTTGTGGGCTTCAGATGTTCGCCGATAACTGTTGATAGGCGTTAATAACCTTCTTTAGCGCTGAAACTGATATTCTCAGTAAGACACCTCACAGACAATTTCTTCAGGATGCTTGTGGAAGTCCATCGTCGTTGACGCATTGAGCTCATTAGGCCTTATTTGGATAGCTATAATTTATTGCGATCAAGTGATAAATGTGGTAAAATGATGCATATGAAATAAATGGCCGAAGAAAACACTTGCGGAATCTATTGTGACAGTCTTAACCATTATTCATGCATCAGTCAAAATGGAGTTTTCTCAGTCAAACCATTCTCTAATTTCAGTAGAAAAACTCATCAAACACGGACTTCTTCTTTAAAATACAAATTTCTAAAAAGTCAGTATTAAGAGGCTTTACACCTTAGTGGAAAACTAATTGAATCTGTATCCCTCAGCAGGGTATCTATAGCTAAAAATGTGTTTGAGAATTTCATTTACAAGTCCAGCCAAAAGCATGCGTAGGGTAAGTTTGATCCGACAACCTGCATGTGATTAACCTACTGCTCAAAAGGATTTCAAAGGAGCACATCATAATATACGTGTTCTTCGCGGTGTTCTAAGTACTGCAATTAAAAAAATTACTCTGGTAAGCTATATCATAAATGAAACAGTAAAAAAGATGTGCTATTACTGCTACTGGTTATCAGCTTCAATTTCAGTGTACGTTATACGATAATATTCTTTATTTGCCACTATTACTCTATGATTTACAATAATCAAAATGTTATGACTACTGATACTATTTTCTTTTGTGTCAGAATGCTTAAATATCATCAGTTTTCAAGAAAATTTCTTCACTGTTTCACAGCATAAATTTTGATATGCTAACTACTGTTTGCAGAATACAATCCACTCAAATTTCCTTGAAAAGGACGAAATTCTGTGGCGACGGCTGTTAACTGCCTCATAAGCATTCTTTATGTAAACACTAATTCTAGCTCAAATCGTTAGAAAAGAACTTCACTAATAGGCGAATAAAACGAAAAATATAGCCAAAAGCGACGAAAAAGTGATTAATCAAAATCGCTAACATGACATCCAGCATTATCGATGCTCTCTAAGCCAAAATAGTCACTTTCGAGTAGGTTCAAATGTCTCGCCACCTCGTCAAGCAACGTTTGACCAATCGCTTTATGCTAAAAATAAAGTGTGATTAGCTATATTACCTTTTGAAGTCGTCAAATTATCAGATAAAACTCTATAAGGAGCTTTCTGGGATTTTATGATAGAAGCACATTTATATGATATAAATATAGAGTAAATCCTTTTACACTTTTCTTAATCGGGTTTTCAAACCAGTCTAATCATCTAAATCATAATCTTGATCAAAAGGCAAATTTCCAATTCTAAACGTGAATTGTCTAGGGACATCGACTACTGCAAATAGCATTAGTGGATATCAATGATGTAAATTTCTTATCGTACAAATTCAGAGAGAACGCACGTTTATAAGCAGCCTTAGGTAATGTAGTCCACTTTAAATTAATGTCTTTTCGTTTCATAAATACATTTATTTATTTATTTACTCATTTATATTCGCTTATTTATTTTGTTCACATGCCCAATACTAAATTAATTCTTAAGCCGTTTGTATACAATTGTTATTATTATTATTCTAAAGTAGAGCAAAATACACCATATATATATATATATATATATAATATATATATAATGAATATACAGTCGTTTATAAAAGCATACATTGTTGAACTTACTAGAAATGCGGATCAGGAGCCCCTGTACAGTGAAATAAAGAAGAAATGGAGCTCAGAATAATGCTCAAATCTCACAACTTTTGAAAAATAGAAAAAACAATAAAAGCGAAAATAATGGTTGCTCTCCTAGAAAAAAATTGAAAAGCAATTGCTGATGGACTGTTTGAAAGCAGGAAACTCTGGTATTGAAACTATGAACAAGTCGAACCGTTTGATTTATTTTCAACTCGATCATGGTGTCACCAGCAAAGAAAAGATCTAGAAAAAGGTGATGCTTTTCCATCTTCTCATTCTGCATCTGTGAAGCAGGAGCACTAACGAGTCACTTTTCAAGAAGATAAATTGTTCACAAGTGTAGAAAACTCACGCCAAGGTGAAATACAGCCACACTATCATCCAACATTCGCACTTTTATACAAACAAGTCTCCCTCTTTTCGTGTCCATTCCGGGAGGCGGAGGGCCTCCCACACCGTGCGGAATACCCGACATTTCCGCTATAAAACAAAAAACTCATGCTTTCAATTATGAATTGAACTATGATAAAACAAATACGATTCGTACAAAAGGCTCGGAATTGATTGGTGCCAAAATAAAGAGAGAATAAATAAAGAATGAGAGCTTCTAACGTTAACAGTGAGCAACAACCACGATCAGACGTATATCGATGTATGAGGAGTTTTTCTTTAGAGAACGAAATGCAGTGATAATGTGACGGGCGCTGCACATAAGGTCCACATTTTCAAACATGTGTTAGAAAATGCACGTAAAATCTACTATTTTAAAGGCATAGGACAGGCGACGTGAATTTGAAGTCGACTACTGCTATGAAGAGTTGGGATAGATGTCCGAGAGGCAGAGGAATATGAGGGGATAGCAGAGAGGGAAGTGCGAGAGCGCAAACAATTGGCAAAGTCCCTCCGTCTGCAAACGCCCCCACATCCAGATGGTCAAAATACGACGGAGACTGCGAAAGTCTGGTTTCAGAATGGTCAGTTTTCATTCCAGAATTTCGAATACTTCTTTAACCACTGTGTTTTCTGAAAATTAAAGGACCCCGCCGCTCTAAGCTGGGCTACATCTGTCACTACTGTTCATTTTGAGTGTTGTTATAGAATTTGCAACAGCAAAAGCATGTGTTCTGCTTAGATTTAGTCATCTCATATTTGTTCTCTATAATCCTAATGTCTAAAACCAAGAACTTCTCGTTTCATTGCTTTCATTACGGACAAAATCTTCGTGAATTTTCCAAGTGATAAGATTCATTTTGAAACAAGTCATAAATCAGCATATTGAAGTAAATGTTCGAATGAGATATATGTTGTCTTGAGTTTTTTTTCTCAAATTACCATAGACTACCAAGCAAGTGCGTGTCTTGGCGGCGGATGAGTTGTTGATCATATACCTAAGCAGATATGAGCATTCTATGGATATCTGGTGAATTCAAGACGTAAAGTGCTATGTTTGATTTGCATGACGTGCGTGATAATTTTCAATGGCTTCTAGCATGGCTATTCCTCTAACGGAATATTACACTGAATGCCTCATGTCGATGACAAGAGTTCATTGTCAGGAGAACTTATGATGGAAAATCTTGATCACATTAAGAACGGAAGGCTAGATACAACGTTTCGTTCCATCAGTAATCCAAAATCGTAGACAAGCACGTCAAGAAGACACCTCGTAAGATTCTTTATAATAAACGTTGAATTTCCTTGCGCATTATAAATTCTGTCTCCTTGCTTCTCAGATAGAAGGAAACCGCTACGAAATGCAGCACTCAATATGGCAATATTGTTGAAAATTAATTCAGCTTTCAAAACTGTGTCCACTCATATCTTCACCTTGATTAGCTTATTTATCAGGTAATATACTGTTCATTATCCGCTCACAAAGGAAAAATGGTGGTAAGCTTTCATAGGATAGGAGGTCAGAGATTTGAGGGGGTTATCAAATGGCTTACAGTCATATAAAACGTGCAAGGTATTCTCTTCGGAAGGGCAGATTTTGTAATTACAAGAGCAATGAAGAAGGCATCACTATAAACTGAGCCTCTTTCGAAATTTTTTTCGCGCTAATGGCAAAATTTCTCATGTTGCATCATTTCACCACTAAAAATTGCGTTTTGATGGCTATTTCTAGATCTCTATTGTAAGATTTTACCACTAGGAAATCGCATTTTAGCTTTGAAATCAATCCTTATTGAAAAATACGACGAATGTTAATATATTGGTTTGTGGACCGAGCAGAAGATTGGGTACATCACGAAAAATGCCTTGCTAGAGCAGGCCACACAAAAGCAACTGACTCTTCACTAAGTGAATTCCCATTTTCGGATACGCAGCGGGAGCAGTGGGAATTTTTTTCTCACTTTGATACGATGCGGCTATTCCATTTTGCTGATACTGAGTGAGAAAATAATTGCATACTTCGAGTCCTCGTTCCGTGAAAAAAAATTCCCCACCTCGTTGCATGTGCATAGTTGAGCTTCACCATAGCTAGATCAACTCTATCATTCTAAACTAGAGAATTTGAGATAGTTCACGCTCCACTGAATGATGGTAAGCACCAGAGCATTTTGATATTCATAGAAGTGCACATTCTAGAGATTATAATAGTACATTAACACATTTACGACATAGACTTCTTTTCGGGGTTTTCCGCGCATTCCAATTATCGGAGCAGTTGAGGAATTGTAAACTTGATATACTTAT